TTTACTTAGTTAACATTGTTCAAGTAACAAGTTTCGATTAATTTATTGGCGATCCGCCCAAGCTCCACCCGGTTACATTTATTTACAAATTAAGAAAATATGGTGTCAACATTTTGATAAAGAAATACCGTCCCTACTTCCGAATTTTGTAGTGGCTTAGGTAGATTTCCCAAAGATTTTCTCTCATACATACTTTCAATCTATTGTTGTTTTGTTATGTATATTCTTCTCATCCCGCTATCTCTTACATTTCATAGTTGCGAAAGAGATTAGTGACATAACACGTATTTTCAAAAGGTCAAATCGATAGTGCAAATGGGAATTTCGATAAAGTTACCTTTATTAGTTTATATTAGTTACTCACACCAAATGTACTTAAGCAAAGAATATGCATCGTATCTTACTTTTCAGTGGTTTTATTTGTATGAAGTCCGTATTATTTTTGATAAAAAATACTTTTACCTACTAAGTAACCACTACGTTACGTACAAAGAATTAATTGTTAAGGTTGCAATGAAAGAAATATTTTTCCATGTACGTAATTTGTTTCCACAGAGGAATTATTTTCTTTTATATAGAAGTTTTATGTAAATCGAATTTGAATTTATTTCAACTAGATAAGATTGTATTAATAAAATATGTAAATAACAGTTTTTTTTAATTTATTTTGTAAATTCAATTCAAAACAGAAATTGTTCCTGAACAAAAATATGCGAGTCACGACTCGCATACCTTAATAAACAAATTTTATTAATGTCGCAAAATGATTGCCTAACTATAGCACAAACCAGTCTAAAAAAGTAAGTAATTAGTTAAAAATAACAAAAATATAAATCACCTGGACCACGGAAGAAGTGCATGTAATTTTTATAGTGAAATTTAAGATATCATAAAGTATTATAAATCCAACAGACCGCAACGTTGCGTTGCTAAGTATATTTCTAATTCATCTGTTTTCATACAAATTTAAGAGTCTAGACGTCAAAATGTGTTGCATGCTTTGGTTACGTAATTTTTTGCCAAAGAAACTAATAATAATGAACTAATCAAAGGCTTACCTGGTGGATACCAGCCATAGACACTAGCAGAGGTCCTGTAGAATGGATGTTGCTTGCTAACTTGGCAGCCGTAACCGTTAAACCAATCTGCAAAAAAGGGAACCAAAACTTGAAATACACTGGCCTGCAAAACTAAGTATCACACTTTCAAAATTTAAGCTTTTGCAGCAACTTTTTTAAATACACAAGATATACTTTCTAAATAAAAAGGACTCTAAAAAGTTTTTATTTGTGTACTAAAGTTTCAAATAAAGCTGATAAAATTTGCTATTAAACGATTTTTTTATTTTAAATCTCTAACTTCTATAATTTAGAAAAAAAATATTAAAAAATGTGATACTTAGTTTTGCAAGCCAGTGTATATGTATATACTTTACGGTCATACAGAAACACATAAAATAATGTTCATGTCCAATCCATTTAGTAATTATATTCTGAATAGTAAACATTTAAACCTACAGAAACAATATGAGCTTTTCAAACATTTGCAAAAACTTGTGCTCACTAGCAGAGTCCCGACAGTTTAATAAGTCACAAGAAAGATTATCGATTAACAGTAAATGCTAACAGCTCGCCCGCATGTTTTGACTTCGTTAAGGTTATTGACATTTTATACGTAACATACCCTTCAACCGCGAAAATAATATACCTATCAAATCTCAATTTAAATTACGTTTCCTCAATAGACTATTCTAAAAGAACTGCTGCTGGTAGGGAATGGGTAACCTATCGACCCACCAAACATTTTAAGTTTTAGGACGGACCCTAGCTTAAAATAAATGTTACTTTGAGCAAAAAGTTCTTTCAGTTTTGAAGCTGATCCATTACCATCTTTGTCGTGTGTTTTGTTACAGACAGTTAAAACTTATAACTTAAAATTAAATGGGCCAAGAGATGTAACCGGAAGTGCATGGACGTTTAAAAAAGTGTATTATTAGCATAAGATTAATAAAGAAACGAATAAATATGAATTTTTTTACATGATATCCATTATTTAGTAAGTATATAATTATGTATGTATTAGCGGCCGCCCGCGACTTCGACCGCATTAAAGTTAGTTTTTTTAGAAACCTACGGGAACCTAACATTCTTCCGGGATAAAATCCTATGTTTCAATCTAGATGATAAACTACATATATGCCTTTCGTCCAAATCAGTTCTGCCGTTTTAGCGTGAAAGACTAATATAATATACATGAGTATAAATGACCGTTTGGTAATTAATAACAGGAGTATAAGTAGCTCTGTTAAACAGAGTTCATAGTTTTATCTTCAGCTTCGCCTAACTAGAAGCGAAGTGTGGAGTTGTTATCTTTCTAAGCAATTTTCTATTAACTGCAAACGCTGTAGAGCAAGCATTATTTCTATTGGACCGTTGTTTATTATTTAGTTTTAATCTTACCTTATCCTGTTAATTCAAAATTACAAATAATATATAAATACAATACAGAACACTTTATTGTATTTGTGTATAAAACATGACATTAAATACAGAGCCATTTAAATCTAGTGTAACAATGGGCGGCCTTATCACTAAAAGCGATCTCTTCCAAGCAACCTTCGGATGGAGAGCATCAGAAGAAACTGGGAGAGACTATAACTAGAAACTACTACTCTTTATCCGTCTCTAACTGTGGTCTATATTCAAATTTGAATTCGTCTTTAAATCGTATACAAATAAATCCTCCTACATTGCTATATAATAATTTAAACGTGGGAAGGTACTTACGAGGATGCTCAAATCTTTTAGGGAGATTGCACGTTTCAAAAAAGTCTGAAGTTTTAGGCTCAGGCCTTTTGATTTCTTCTTGAAGACTGGCCCTGTCCACACAGATGGCAGAACAAAAACCAAGCCTCTCATCCTGATCGGGTGAATGCTCTTTATTCATTATTAAATTGATACTGTATTATAAGGTACCGTAAAATTCTAGATTTTAATTTAAAAAATCAACTAAATCTCTGATATATCTTGTTGTTGCAGGGCTTACAAATCAACGCGATAAATGAGGACAACGCAAAACAGCTTGACAACTAAGTGTTTCCAAACATTTCTGTTTCTATGGTTACGTATGGCCATGGTCCAAATCTGTCCAATCGAGGTCCTTCGTCCAAGGTCAAGTTGGTCGAAATAAACAACAAAACTTATAAAGAAATGAATTGCCATAATTCTCATACAGATCTATAAGCTTAACTTTTATTAAAAAAGTACTTAATCGTAGAATACCCGTAGTTCGTAGCGACATCATAGGCTTATAAATTATAACAATGGCTATAGTTATTTAAATAGCAAAAAGGAAGACTTCATGTTAAATGGGCTTCAATTACTTAATTTTTAGCACTTAACTATTTTATAATTAAATTAGATAAGTATTACCTACATAAGCTAACTTGATACATTAAATTTGTGTCGGGAAACAAACAGGGGTCAAAACTGCACCTTTTGCTTTCAGACAATTTTATTAGGCGTCTTATAGTGTAACTTTTTTGCCGTTAGCATTTTCTTTTATTTCGCAGTTGAGAAATAGATGCAAAGTGAAATCTATGGTAAAAACAGTTATTTTATACCTTATGGTAGGGGAGCCCTAAACGAGATTTTCGGATTTACTCGAGCGCGGTAGAATAACATAAACAGGTGCCCTAGAGGGCAGCAAAAAAAAATCAACAAACAGCCACGATTTTAGTTCGTGTCCAATTAGTCTGGTCTTTGAATATAGGTGCTACTGAAGGGTTCAACTTTTATTGCGCGTCGTTTTATATATCCTGCCAATAATTATTCTAAGACCCTGACCAAATACCCTACCCGGTGAAACTCTTGAAACCTCACTCAATGAAGTGCAGTGCCTGACTCTGCTAATATGATGTCTACAATACATGAGTAGTAGGTACTATGGTATCACTTTTTGTTTTAATTATTGACTTCTCAAACTAAATACTTATCTTAGTACCGAATCTATTATACATTATGGTCATCGTACACTAGAATAAAAGACTACTATTATAAGACACAAATAGTCTTTAATAATGCACGACCTCCGTGGCCGAGTGGTTTGTACGCCGGGTTTCATGGTGTCGCCGACTCGAAAGGTCCCGAGTTCGAATCCCGGTGGGGGCAGATGTTTGTGTGATGCGGGCAGAAGAGGACGAGTGCGTGCCCTGGCTACGCCCGTCCCATGACCCTGCCCGCGGGGATCCCTAGCTGGCCGGTACGGCGCATTGTGCCGTGCCGGCCACCGAGGGATCCCCTGACGGCAGCCCCCATCTTGTAGTTCTGTCCTGCAAAGAGGGGGGCGGCGGAGGGAGCTACACGGGCATGCCCAAGTAGTCCTCCGCAGCGGACGGGGGGCGGTACGGTGGGCACTAGGCCGCGTATTTTGCCCCCACGCGCGGGCCATCCTGCGCACGTCTGCGGGGTCCCCGCAATACCTCGGGAGACCCCTGCCGTGGAGCCCCGGCTAGGCCGGGAGGCTGCTGGGTGCGGAGACGCGGAAGAATCCCTAAACGGGGATCCCGCGGTTTCGCACTAAGCAGCTTAGAGGGTATTCGCAGGACTTTTTTAGCGGATATTATACCGTAAAGCACCCGTAAGAGTTGCGGGGTCCTCGGTGGGCAGCCACTGTGGGGTTCGTAAGACTTGCGGGAGCCAGGTGTGAGGTCCGTTCGGCGGTGTGCCTCTTAAAGGCGCCGTCGTCTGTAAATAGATTTTTTACCTGCGTATTAAAAAAAAAAAAAAGATGTTTGTGTGATGAAAGCATTTGTACTCCAGTCATGGATCTTTAATGTATATTTCTATAAAAATATACTTATATATGTACAGTATAATGCATTCTATCCGTTACCCTAGTATTCCATAGCACAAGCCTTATAGTGCTTACTTTGGGGCTAATTGGTGTGAGTGTTGATTATATTTATTTATTTTTATTTATTTATAAACGATATAATAGGCATAAATTACAAGCAATCTGACCACATCGGGGTTTTAGTGACAATATTTTCATATTTAAATATATATATGAGTGATTCGTGTGCTGCTCCATTCCTTTATGCCTTATGCACCGCCGTATACTGTGCAGAGCTGACGCGATCACTAGCTAGACGCGAGCTGAATTGAGCTGAATGGAAAGTTATTTTTAATATTTTTTACTGTCGTTTACATTTTACGATAATAATTACAAACAAATTATGTCAACCATCTTCACTTTAATGAATTGTCTACAATGTATTTTAGTTTACTCGATTTTTTATGTTAGGTTATGGAAGAAAAGAAGTTTCACTTTAGATGTGTGGTCCATGCACACATTTTTTTTTCTAAGCTAATGTAAGCCGAAGTTTACCTCATTTGTAATGCATTCAAGTGAATATATTAACTGTTATCAGCTTTATCAGGACGACAACCGACAATAAACGAGTGGGCGACTATCGCACTCCCCTCCAAGCTGTTAACGCATCGCTTTGTTTAAACCCGAGAGCCAGTTGAACTAAGTTGAACAAAACAAACAATTTAGGCAAACTTTAAAAAAATGTTTATATCCTCTATGACTATTTGAAGACTTCAAAGTAACCATCAAAACCGTTTTAGTAAATATTTACCTACCAATTTTTTAACAAAATACTTTAATTTTATTTGATGTACGAAATGTATACAAAAGAACCTATAAATTTGAAAGTTGTAAGATTTGAATTGGATTGGACGCCGCCACCACCGGAATCGGAAAGGCAGAAACCAAAAAAGAAAACTAAAGAGATTAAAGTACCAAAAGTGAATCGTGTTGCGATAAAATCTCCTGTGCCACCGCCGCCTCCAATCAAGAGCCGTTCACAGGTATGTAGGTAACTGTAATAAGCGACACAAACTGATATCATCATCATCAACAGCCCATCTTCGTCCACTGCTGGACATAGGCCTCTCCAAATGCCACTCAGAAAGATCTTGGGCTACTCACATCCAGCTCCTGCCAGCCACAGAATACCGATAGAGTGACTCACTCTCCCAGGCCCGCCGATCTTACTAATTTTCAAAATATTAATTTGTGCTGTGGGTCAATTCACAGGTATTTGGTGGCGCAGGTACGAAAAATCTTACCCACTTTACTTACAGTCTAAGGACTGATTCTTACGTAGGATGTTGTAGAGAAAATAGCAACTATTTGAAATTAATACTTCCAGACACATTCTATTAGTAGTATTGCCAGACACTTTAAATGTCGAAAGCAAAAACACAAACTTACATTCTGTGACCTGATATATTATATATCTATGATATTCAGGTATTTTGCAAGCTGCCAAGCCAATCGCAGGGGACAAAAATTCCCCAAATCAGATTCCCGGTTCGACACGTGCAAGTGTCAATTATAGTTTGTTAGAAAAAATGTCTTTGTGTTTATTTCCAGAAAAGGGATGTAAAGGAGCTCATTGAAGAATTGCTCGATGAGTTATATTCTGATCACCGTGACTGGAGCAGCAACAGCGCCACATACTGCAGCCGTGGGTATGTTTTGATTTAAATGTTACATCCTGGCGTAGCGTAGTAGTAGTTGATACATTAAGTATTTTCATAATTATACTCAACATGGTTAATGCCAATACTGCTGGGGTACAGGCCTTTCCTATGGATGAAATAGGGAGACTGGGCCGGGACCAACCACGCGGGCCCAATGCGGATTGGTGGATTGGCGAACGACTGCAGATGCAGCCGAGACCAATGGCTTAACGTGCCTTCCGAAGCACGGAGCAGCTCACGATAAGTTTTTCGTTACCCAAAAAAAGTTGGAAAGTTGCTAAACTTGACTTAGACGCAAGCCGAATGCGCTTACCACCTACCTGCGCCATCGAGCTCCAAAACAAAGGTCATTGAAACAAATTTAAATATTTATTTTATTTTCAGATCAACGTCAGCAGCATCCATTACTTCATCACTATCCAACTGCGGTGATCAAATTGATGCTATCGAAAGTAGTTACTTAGAAGGCTTGAGTATGTAATTTCCTAACAACTTATGCAAATAATGCAAATTCTGCAAATATACCTTCTTTTATTTTTTTTCCTTAAATTTTCATCTATATATCATAGATGAAAATTTGTAATTATGATAAAACATAAAAAAATGAAAAGAATAAATGCTTCCTAGGGTGACCAACGTTCTTAAATTAAGCTACCTACATCCAGTTTAAGACTTTACAGAGTCCCTCTATTTACATTAGAAGCATTTTTGCAGGCCGACAAGGTGAGAATGGTTGGTACAGCTATCTTCACGTTTGTACTTTATCACCACTTAACATCAGGTGGGGTAGAGGCATTTGCCTACCTAGCTATAAATAAATAAAATAATAATTACTGTATGAAGTCCATACCCACAGATAGAAAGAGGTTTTACAATATCATTGAGGTGATAACATGATTCAATTTAAGAACGTTAGTGCAAGTGACTCCTGGACTAAAGTTATTGGCGTGTCTGAGATGTAGATAATATATTCTAAGAATAGTTTGACATAATCTATAAGTGGTACATTAATTACAGACCTCGAAGAACTGGAAGAACATTTTTGCGAGTGGCACTCGCATTTACAGACGTCGGGTGAACGCCTGGCCCGCTGTCTGCGTACGAGGGACCGCCTCAGAAGACAACAGAAGAGATTGTGTGCCGCCTTCACCGTGCTACTGCGTCATATAAGTACGTAATATGCTGTAAGAAAAACACCGTAGACCCGGACGTACAAAGTACTGGGCGTTTCACGTCACAGCGAATTTCATCAGGGATCTGAGTTTTTAATATATTATTATCAGCCTTCCCCGTGAATGAGAATTTTCCATTACCCACCACGCGGACTCAAATTGGTTTGTGCAGTCGGGACCAGCGGTTTAAAGTGCCTTTCATAGGATGGATGAGCTAGAAATAGTATTTTTTTGGTCAACTATTCAATAACAGACCATTGCGAAAGCTGCTTAACTTCCACGATCATAGACCGAACGCGCTGACTGCCTGCGTCTTCGAGCTCCTACAGTTTATAGAGAAGCATTCTTGTTACACTAACAACACTCAAGGAATATATGGTGAAAACGAAGCAAAGCTCTCTGCTTAGAATACCTTGAAATTAGAGCTTCTCAAATTTCCCGATGTAATGTAAGGTTCCTTGAAGCAGCGTTGTCCCTAGAGTAGAGCGAATGGAGCATTTTCTCTAGATGCCCCCGGCACGCCGAAGCTATAAGGCGCAAAAAAGCCAAATTTGGAAACTTTCCAGCGGAAAAGAAAATTTACGTGAAATGAAAGCGTCGATCAAAGGGGCTTTCGCTTTTTCTGCCAATATTATATGAAACGAATTTTAATTTTATTATTTAATTTTTAAAATTTAGTCCGACATAAGTATTTTATTTTATTTTTTTTATGGACTTGAGGGGCTCAAGTACGATTACTACCATACGTTCTATCTGAAAACAGACTGCTGTTCCTTACTACTTATAGTCTTGGAGCGGCCATACACGGACTGCTTGTGCAGTTAGCCAGTGATCAACTTAGACGGACTGCTCTAGCAGTCAGAGTCAACAGCTTGAAGCTGCCATTGATAACAGGGGTGGGTGTTTTTAGAATAAAGATGCCAGGTTTGGATGCACACATCCGATGCGACTTAGTACCTTATTAGTACCGTCAATGGATACCGATACCATCTCCTTTTTTTTCAATGTAACTATAGCAACAATACCACAAACTTATTTGTGACGGCAGAGGTATCGCTAGCGTTGAACAATTATGTCATAGAAATGTCAAAATGCTATGGATAAATTGTAGTTCCAATTTTTGTCACCGACACAGAAAAGTTTGTGACACTAGCTCGTTGGGTGCATAGCGCAGTGTCTTCCTAGGAAAATAGAGAAATATAGCGTGTTGCTAGAGCTAAAATTACCACACACTTATTTGTGCAGACGGAGGTGTCACTAGCGGTGAACAATTCTGTCATAGCGATGTCAAAATGCTGTGGATAAATTGTAGTTTAAATTTTTGTCACCGGCACAGAAAAGTTTGTGGCACTATAGCTCGTTGGGTGCATAGCGCAGTGTCTCCCTAGGATTACCGTGTTACTAGAGCTAAATTATGGTCTATTAATGAATCGAAGAGACAAACCCACACAATACACGCATCTATCGTAATTCATATCACATCCTGTGATACACAGGATGTGTTGCGGTACTAGCTAGACTGACATTCACTTGACATCGATGCGCGCATCGGATGCGATTTATCTGGTATCGATATCACAAATAGCTAAAATCGCCCATCTCTAATTGATAACTGCTCGAGCAGTTGCATTTGCATATATCCTCGAGCAGTCCGTGTATGTGTGTATGTAGAAGACTTTAGTGCACTATAAAGTCGCGCTTGAAATTGTCCATCCCGACTGCTTCCAGTTAATTTTTAAGCGTTAATCTGCTCGATTTATAATATAAGAAAAAATCGATTCGGTCAAGTTAGCGGGCAGGATTGGAACCTGCACCTTCTGCTGTCCAGGCTGAGGCACCGCTATGCTACGGAGTCGAATTTCTTCTAGTATTTCTTAGGCTGCAATTCTACGAATTGTAGGTAAACCACAATGTGGAATGAATTTACAAGTACTATAACATTTAAAAGAAGAAAAAGTAATTGTTGTTTATTATAAAGAAAGAATCTCTAAAGAATTTAACTCAGTCAATGTGTGTCAGCGTCTTTCGCTATCGATAGATCACGGACATAGATTGTAAAATATTTACTACTTGAGTAGTGTTTACATATCATTATTGTGAAATCTACTTTATAACAATTTGAGGTTTTACGTGACATTTTCCCTACCGTTAATAACTAAGAAAAAATAAAGGTTTAAAAAAAAGACGTTTTTTCTTTTAATTTCTCATCTCACGATATTTGGTATATCGGATGAAATATATCAGTTGTACATATCGGTACTAGATGATTTGATAATATCGGGTGTAAGCGATATATATTGCATGAAATAACATTCATTTTCATTTTAAAAGCGTTTATTTAATAAATTTTGACAACCATAAATACTTTGTACTAATTAACTTACAATATTTAATTCAGGATCATTACTTTTCCAGGCTAATTAGTTGGCTATATAAGTATACACATTACACTATAAATATTATATAATAAATTATTATAATTTATTGAAATATAATTTTGAGATAATTATAACCACACTTATAAATTATGCACTTATAACATGATTATAAATAAACATATAGGTATGAAATATCGATATATATCGTGCGCTCCTACTACAGAGACTCCTGATATATATTGTGGTTCCGTAGATGCCCACGGAACCCTAAACTGCGTGTGGAACAATACCTACTTGGCCGGTTTATATGTTAACCATGTTTTTAAATGATGCAAATCTTTTCTACTTGGATAAAATTTTACATTATAAATTAGTGTGATAATTCAAGCGAAGACTCGTATGATATTACACTGCTCTTAAATGTGAATTCCGTGACTACTGTGATGCTTTTAAAATTTGTCATATTAATGCACAAAGCATTCCACGGCACTATGCTGACCTCCTTCACGCATTCTCTTCGGATACGGTTCATGCCGTCCTGGTGTCGGAAAGTTGGCTTAAGCCATGTCTAAATTCTAATTCATACAACCTCCCAGGGTATAATCATATTCGAAACGATCGTATTGGCAAAGGTGGCGGTGGTGTTGCCATATATTTGTCACATGTCTTGTCTTTTAAACTTATATGTTCTTCCTCCTTTCGTCTCGATTCTATGGAATATCTTCTCCTTGAAGTCACTGCCAAAGGTATCAAAATTGGGAGTTGTTTACTGCCCCCCTTCTATAAATTTCCTTACTGACTTTGATTCACTTCTTAATTCTGTTGCAACAGACTATTCTCATCATATCATAATGGGTGATTTCAACACCGACCTCCTGAAGGACACTACCCACTCTCGCAACTTTCGATCTCACATTGAGTCTGTAAATTTCTCTATTTTACGTCTTGATCCTACTCATCACAATCACACCACATCGGACTCATGGATTGATCACATCTTACTATCTTCACAAGCACGGACAGCTTCCCGCATCTGGCTTTTCCAGACACGACCTCGTTTTTCTTGCTTATAAGGCTAAACCTCCCAAGCCAAAGCCACTGTACGAATGCGAAACTTTGCCAGACTGGATGTGGAGAAGTTGAGAAGTGATGCCTGCGCTGTTAACTGGTATCCTATTCGTGAAGCAACGTCCGTCGATAGCATGATCACCTACTTCAACCAAGTCATTTTAGACCTTTACGACCGTCACGCCCCTAAAAAGTGCGTTAAATTAAAACGACCACTAGCGCCATGGATTACTGCGGGTGTTCGTATGGCAATGAGGAAACGGAACAAGTGCTTCCAATCGTACAAACGTTGCCGTACTGATGACAACTGGCGTGCATTTAAAACTGCAAGGAATCGTTGCAATCAGATGGTGAGAGCCGCTAAACGCCAATACATCCATCAGAATATTTCAAATTCAAATCTAGCCGATACATGGAAGTTTCTTCGTACTCTAGGTTTTGGTAAAACTTTCTCAAAATTTACCTCTTCTTTTTCATGATGAGCTTAACAAACATTTCTCTTCACTTTCTTCTCTCCCTACTTCAGTTATGCTCTCTACTGTTTCCTCTATAACTTCCATGGCTCCCTTTTCTAGTGAATTATATAGTTTTCGTCCCTTAACTGAAGAAGAGGTCCGTAAGATTGTCCTTTCCATAAGATCTAAGGCAGTGGGATGTGACGATATCAGCAGGACTATGATTATCCCTATACTTGAATGTATACTTCCAAGTCTCACCTTTATTCTTAATTTTTCCCTTTCATCATGTACCTTTCCTTCTATCTGGAGAAATGCACTTACTACGCCTCTCCCTAAAATTAATAGTCCCTCATCTCTGAGCCACTATCGGCCCATATCTATTCTTCCTTTTCTCTCCAAGGTTTTAGAAGCTGCTGTGCACAGCCAACTCACCTCTTTTATCTTTCGCCACAAAATTCTCAGCCCACTACAATCTGGGTTCCGTCCAGGTCACAGTACAACCACTGCCCTTATCAATGTCCTTGACGACATTCGTAGCAGAATGGAAAATTCGCAGTTGACTGTTATAGACCTAATAGACTTCTCCAACGCATTCAATATGGTCAACTATGATATTCTCCTCGCAATTCTTTCACAAGCAGGAGTTTCTTCTTCAGTAGGGACCTGGTTTTCATCTTATCTTCGTGGACGCCAGCAGGCTGTACGGGTAGACCAAACCATCGCGGACTGGTGCGCTCTCACTGCTGGTGTTCCACAGGGCGGTATTCTCTCTCCTCTTCTTTTTTCTTTATTTATTAATTTCCTTACTACTATGATTCATTCCTCTTACCATCTATATGCTGACGATCTCCAACTTTATGTTCATGCAGATAAAAAAAGTTTAGATGAGGCCCTCATATGCCTGAATAATGACCTTCAGAGGATTTCGGAATGGTCCAACTGTTATGGTATCTCTGTTAATCCATCAAAATGTCAGGCAATTATAATAGGTAGTTCCCGGCAGTTGGCCCTTCTGGATTTAGGTTCACTGAAGCCATTATTATACAATGGTACTGTATTTAAATTTCAACCATGCGTCAAGAGTCTTGGCCTAC